ACTCTTATATCAAATTCCAACTGGCAAGGGATATTTAACGTGCACGCCAATGTATACACGGAACCTCGGTTTTCCGTCCCATCTGAACGACTAGACGACTGTTCTCGTCATCTGTCATGCATCACTGACAAGGGGAAACCACGCCGAAAATCCCGATGAACTTTCTCGGCCAATGCGACCTCCAGGCTAGCGAACCCGCGACCTCCAGGCTAGCGAACCCGCGACCTCCAGGCTAGCGAACATGCCTCTTACTCACTTAGCCACCGCGACTCGCCGTTAATATCATCTGCAGATTATGCCGAATGCAGATTTTTTTTAAAATTTTTACTATATCTTTGTAAACACCGTAATGAACATAATTAAGCAATGGAGAGAGAGAGAGAGAGAGAGAGAGAGAGAGAGGAGAGAGAGAGAGAGAGAGAGAGACATGGGGTTTAACGTCCACTCGACACAAACTAGGTCATTTCGGGACTAACATATGGTTTAATTTTATTTCAATAAATCGCTTGCGTGTAGGGGTCTTTAGCAGTGGGAGGAAACCGGAGGACCCGGAGAAAACCCACGAGGTTGGACAGGCGACATTAAGCAATGGATTAAATGACTTTGATCGCTAATATTTGGGACCTAGAAATTGACACAAATGGGTCGCAACAAATTTCAATCCGTTATGTCCAGCGAAATACGCCAGGATTCTCAATCGAATGGCATTCTCTAGCGTCACCGTTTGACATGACTTGTGGAATATGTCTAGCCTCGTTCTTTGAGTGTCTTGTTACAAATGGCGCTGAAACGCATTATGGTGCACAATTCGTGTACCAAAGCTAACACGTTTATTTTGTCTTAAATATTGGATATCAGAAGCCCGTCTTTTCCCGGTAAGATCACAACAGCAATGTTGATTTAAATTGACAAATACTTAGTGTTTTCATTGTCGAAGATTTTGGATGAGACTGAGTTAGAGACTTAACTACTTTAAATACCCCATCACCCCACCCTACCCAAATAAGGATCAGAAACATCGATATAGCCGGATTTCGAAAAATTAATTTTATTTGACAGCTGGTGGTACTCTATCAAGTAAGGCGAATATTGGCAACTCGAATATAAATTTCTTTGATAAAAACGACATGTTAATAAACATAGTAATTAAAATTCCTTAAATTGTTTTAGTGTTTCACTGTTAAAAGCCACTCAAAGAAGTTTTGAATGGGGTATCTTGAACTGAACAAGTTGTAACCTTAATTCTCTGATTGAGTGATTTTGCATCTACACAATTTGATTGAAACACAGATCCTATTTCGTTTCGTTTTTATAGTTCAAAATTTCGTTTTACTTGTCTTTACTACATATTGGGTCTGGAAGAGTTGTTATTTAACTCGAGTTCTGAATGGTGTCAGGGATAAGCCAATGAAACGGTCTGTTACAGCGAGCTTTAGGCGTGTTTTTCACGGAACTGGGGTAATCCACTACTAACATCAATGATGATTGGTTAATCAAATGTCTGACGTCATAGGGTCATAAGTCACTCTTTTGACCCCTGACGTGACCTATCGCTATAACTTGTCAGATCTTCATGTAGTGTAAAAATCTAAATCTATCGCACGCGAAGTCACACCATATGATCGACATAAACATATGCCAATACCGATTTTAAACATTACACACGTGTAGGTTAGTGTGGCTAGGGGGGGGGGGGGGGGGTGGGGGGGGTGGATGGCCGAATAGTTAGCGCGTGGGTGTTGAATCATAAGGTCTGCCATTGAGTCAACTGGCGTGTTCCCCCGGTTGTACGTGACACGGAGTAGGGTCGCCCGTCCAAGCTCGTGGGTTTTCTCCGGGTCCTCCGGTTTCCTCCCACTGCTAAAGACCCCTACGCGCAAGCGAATTATTGAAATAAAATTGAACTATATGTTAGTCCCGCAATGACCCAATTTGTGTCGAGTGGACGTTAAACCCCATCTCTCTCTCTCTCTCGCTAGTGTGGCTAATTTGCTCATCACTAGGTTACAAAGAAAACTTGAATTGTTTTTCTTATTAAAACACGGATTTACATTCACAACAGATTGTGGGTCTGTGTGGCAGTTTCGACAACGAAGTTAAAAACTTTGATTTTAATTGATAGCCCTCTTAATATAGATACCCGGATCCATCACACTCTCTGACCCCCCCCCCCCCCCCCCTGTATGTTACTATCTTATCATTACCGACAGTTAGTGCCATTAGGATCTTCAGAACGGCCCACGATCTGGTACAGATAGTTATGCCCTTGTGAATTCTACAGCCGCGTAAAAGAGTTACAGAATATTATCTATTCAAAATAACTGTTTAGACCTTTGAACATCTAGAGATTTGACTTTTAAAATATTTTTATTTTAAAGGGAGGGATCAATCCGTTTCACAGATGTATTGCGAAGACTAATAGCTCTGTCAAAGATGACTGTTTTTAGCATGTGACGTCACATCACGCGGCGTAAGTCATTAGCTTAATGCGCGTGCATTGTTTACAGGTCCGGACAGAATGGTGCCTTTTACTCATTTTACATACTAATTTACACTAAATAGGGAATATTTTTTACCTAAATATAGTTGAAACACCTTTATTTATTTTTCCAATGCTTAAAATAATATGTTCTAGAATTTAATTTGCAGAAGGAAAAAGTTAATATTGGTGGCTCATTAAGCCGCGCCGATGCCATCCCTATCAGTGATTGTAGCGGACTCACGAATATTCACTGTTGATTAGTATGGAGAGGGATATAACAAAACCTCGGATACCTTCTGTTTCTGGTGGCTATACAGTCGCTTTACACCATTATCAATTTTTCCCCCACTTTAGTTTTCTATCGATTTACAATAACGCAGGGTACAATTTTATGGATATAATACTAAGCGACATTTCGACGAAACTTCGCTTAGTATTAACCCCAATAATTGTTTTATAAAGACTTGGCCATTCTTGCTATAATAATTCAAAAATAGATGATAAAAAAAGAAAATGTTGAAAATTTCAGTCAAATTACTTTGTTCTGAACGGAATTGTCACTGTTGGAAATTTGGACTAGAAATAGACATCAATTGTGTCTGCACCGTCTATGAGAATTGACTATCATTTGATTGACAGACGATAACTCCACCCACATATTCTCGATTATCAAGTAACATGCTCAATGCTATGGTAGCCTCGCTTGGCAGGTCTTTCATCGCCAGTTTCCAGTAGTGACATTAGCAATTAACGGTAAACGTTAGTTTGGTCCGCCATTTATTGATTTAATTTTAAATGGACGATTGTTTAAATCCAAACTGTATCCAAGCCACCCGTGGGTCTACAGAGTTGATTTTAAGCTTGTCGTGTAAATAAACGTCTAATTAATAATTTCTATAACATCTGAAGCCTAAATAAAGACTAGCAATAGGCAGATTTAGTTCTTGCATAATGTATGTTAAATGCCAATCAAAGAACATTTAAAATAAATTGTTATACTTTTAAACGTCTAGAGGGTTAACTTTTAAAATCTTTTATTTGAAGAGAGGAATAACAAAAATCTCCGCAACACATCTTGGATGAGACCAACGTCTCTTGCTGGTGGTTATACACTCTCTATTCGTAAGTGAAGGAGGACTGCACCACACATAACTACACAAACAAATCTACGGACAAGAGTCACAAGACACAATACGCAGAAATCACAAAAAAACGTACATATCAAACTAAGTGAATGGACCTGGGAGCTAGCCGTAAGCGTCCATTGCACTGTAAAGTCCCGGGCCTGTAGTGATACAGACTTCACTTAAATTTGAAAAACAATCAGGAATGTAACCCAGAGAAAAAAAAACGTTGTGTAATACTAGTACGAGTCATGATCTGCTGAGTTTTGCCCTTTTAGTTTTGGCTGATTATCCATTTAAAATAAATTGTTAGACGTTGTTTAAACGTCTAGAGGGTTGACTTGTAAAATAATTTATATGAAGAGCGGGATAAAAAAAAATTCCCAAAAGACAACTTAAATGAGATGAGCTTCTACTACTTGTAGTTTTACTACACTCGCTGTTGAATGTACAATCAGAGAGAGAGAGAGAGAGAGAGACAGAGAGAGAGAGAGAGATGGGGTTTAACGTCCACTCGACACAAACTAGGTCATTTCGGGACTTACATATGGTTTAATTTTGTTTCAATAATTCGCTTGTGCGTAGGGGTATTTAGCAGTGGGAGCAAACCGGAGGACCCGGAGAAAACCCACGAGGTTGGACAGGCGACTTTACTCCTTGTCACGTACAACCGGCGATTCGAAACCACGCCAGTTGACTCAATGACAGACCGTATCATCTTATTTTGTGAATAAATTTCTAATTAATTATTTATATAACATTTCAGGCCTAAAGAAAGACCTGCAACTAGCCGTTTTACTCTTTCATAATGTATGTTTAACTAGTTAAGAAAAGTTAAAAAGTCAAAATTACAATAGAACAATAGAACAATAACAGCAAATACGTCTACAATTAATGAAAGATATTCATGTTTATCCAACATGAGAATTATCCAATATATTTAATCATCTTTACTATTTTTATGCACGAAACGATTGCAGATGCCGTTCCTTTACATAAACCATACGGCTCTGATCATATACGAGTCCATAAGTTGGAAATCATCTTATTGAACTCACAATTAAGAGCTAGATTTCCTTGTTAAAACTTTAACTTTATTTTAACTAGTTAAAAAAACTATTTTTAATTTGTTAAAAAAAATATTTTTAATTAGTTAAAAAAAATATTTTTAATTAGTTAAAAAAATAATAATTAATTTTAAAAATTTTTTTAGTCACACAAATTTTTAATTAGATAAAATTTAATTAGTTAAAATTTTTGAACTGGTTTAACTTGAAGTGGTGAGCGATTTATTGGAAACAAAATATACCATATGTTAGTCCCATATGTTAGTGTTTAGCGTACTTGTTAGTTTAAAAAGTAAATATTTTATTTTAAATAATTAATTAGCTTACCTGCATAAAGACGACGATGTGACACATGACCTCCCCAAAATACCAATGGCTAGACGTCTGTTGTACCACAGTCGGCGGTAAACAAATTAAAATCACTAACATGTCCGTAACAGCTAAATTAACAATGAAATAATTCGTGGCATTCTGCATGGATTTACTCCGATACACCACAAAACAAACCAAGAAGTTGCCGAACAATCCGACAAAAAAAACAACTACATACAGAAATATTAACACACTTTCTTCCACCGTGGGTTTCATTTTTTCCAGAATATATTCAATCATTTGATCCCTGCTTCCACAAACCGGGGGATCGTGTGATAATCCTGGCCAGCAAGTTATATTGTCACCACTGAAGTTTCCCATGGTTGTGCTATCGGTGAAGTTCTTCATAATTTAAAATTGTTCTGTCTCGTTTAGCTGGTAAATGTATTGTCCAAATCTAGAAGAGAGAACGGAGAAAGCGGTATTACTTGTTGCACATGTCTGATTCAGTGGCTATGACTATCTGTCATCCGAGAAAACTTTTAGACCGATATAGACCTAGTCTTAACGATACTGAAGTACGCCCCATTATGAAGTGAGAGCAAGCAAGAAGAGAGATTGACTACTATAATTAGCCTATTGATAGATTTTCTATGTGCTCTGCCTTTCAAGCCTTTATCTCATTGGCCGCATAATGCTCTATGAAATTAGTATGGCATAAACTCGTATTAGCTAGCCTACGCTAATGTCTAATGAAAGCCATGTGTAATGTATTTTTTTTTTTGGTTTTTCGTTTTAGCAAACTCTTCATGAAGGTCACTTCAAGTCATTATTTTTGCGACATCGAAATCAACATGAAAATTGATCAATCACGAAAATTTCACGAATCGATATACATTATCGTTTATATCAAACATTTCTGCTAGTTTCATTTTTTATTTCATAATAAAAGGCGCGCACTTTCAAGTTGTATTATTTTTAATCGTGTGGTGACGGTTAAAGATAAATGTACAATATATGTGTTATAAAATCTATAAAGGTTATCGTGACGTTTTTCCCTGCATTGGCCGAGAAAGATCATCCAAATTTTCCGGCGTGCCCCCCCCCCCGCCCTTTGTCGTAAAGATCATTCACGATGACTACATTAAAAGCTTTTTTTAAAAAAAATAGAACAAAAATGCTGATCGTAGTCATTTCGAAATATTGCTGTATACCCCTTGTTGCTAACGACTAGAGGCGACAGAGGGAGGAGAGAGGTGAAGTGGGAGGGGGGGAGGGGGTAAATACATGGTTTCTGAGAAAGCGCGAAATATAAGTTGTCAATGGATGAAATGGGTTTAACGTCCTACTGTTCTGCTCCTATACTGGGCTAATGAAGACGTTCATACGCTATACAGTGTGCTATGAGGGAAATTTTGCCCGAACAACGGCTCTACGGCCTACTCTTATATCGAATTCCAACTGCCAAAATGGATCTGTTACGTACACGCCAATGCATACACTGGATCTCGGTTTTTCGTTCCATCCGAACTACTAGACAGCTTGTCCTTGTCAGGCCCTCCGTCCTGCACCACTGACAAAGGAAAATCACGAGTTGTCAATGGGAAATAGAATTTATGCATTATATTTAACAAAATGCGCCCTAACCTGCAATCCTTTATCGTGGTCGTCGCCCCATGAACCCCGACAGGACGCCCCTACAGATAGCTAGGACTTTAACACGGGTTCAAAATCAAAATACGAGTCAAAACCCACTAAGGAGCCCCGTCCCCCACCAGAGACCGCCAGCTGCGCGCTTTCCTCGTATCCTTCCGTCGTTTGGTTTGGCACTGTGGCATCTTTATATAGTTCACTCTAGGTCATTTCGGACCTTACACGGTAAAGGGTCGTTTGTATTGAAGGCGAATACTACCGAAACTTGAACCCATAAGATTGGACAAACAACCCTACTCCTTACTAAGCCAGGACAAGACGCCAGAATAAATGGCCGAATGACAGACCTTCTGATTGAAAGCGCACGCCCCCCCCCCACCTTTGGAGTCACCTTGATACGGTGGCTGATTTAGGACACGCAAAACAAGTCGAGCGCTTGAGATACTAAGTCGAGCGCTCGAGATAGTTAAGCAGAGCGCTCGAGTTAATTAAGTCGAGCGCTCGAAATACTAACACCCCCCCCCCCCACCACTTGGAAGGGGGTAAATACAACGGGAAATATTTAGTGGTGGTGATGAGCATGGGATGGAGAGTGTGTGTTGGGGGGGGGGGGGGTATCCGCCTCCGTCACTGCAGCTTTGGATGGGCTGTAAAAACGAACAAATGAATATCTTTATTCCGCAAGTTTGTCATTAAATAATGCACAAAATTATACAGCTTAAAACATCGGTTGAACCGTGTTCGATTGTATTATCTCGAAAGCTTTACTTAGTATCTCGAGGGCTTGACTTAATTTTCTCGAGCGCTCGACTTAAATATCTTCGAGCGCTCGACTTAACTATCTCGAGCGCTCGACTTAACTATCTCGAGCGGTCGACTTAGTGTCTCAAGCGCTCGACTTAGTATCTCGAGCGCTCGAGATATTTTTGTTTTCTTTTTGCGTGTCCTAAATCAGCCACCGTACCTTGACCGTAAAACAGACTTTTCATTTTATTGTTGCTCCATTCCCGGCAATTTCCGTTATTGTTATTTTAATGTTCTGTTGTGTAAATAAGGTTGTCCAATAATAGCACGTAGAATTAATTGACCAATATACAACCAATAACTTGTATTTAATTTGAAACAACACGGAACTATTGTTAAAACAACTCTAAACATTAAGCTGTCACCGATATTTATTATAACAATTACCAATATTTGTACAATGAAGTGAAATGGAGAAAGAGAGAGAGAGAGAGCGAGAGAGAGAGAAATGGGGTTTAACGTCCACGCGACTTGTCACCGTGACAGACCTTATGATCTAAAGACCACTAGTCATCCGAAATCCAGATTCGTTCCTTGATCCTGTTTCCCATTTCATTGCTGGAGAGAGAGAGAGAGAGAGAGAGAGAGAGAGAGAGAGAGCGAGCGAGCGAGTAAGCGGGGGGGGGGGGTAACGTCCACTCGACACAAACTAAGTCATTTCGGGACTAACATATGGTTCAATTGTATTTCAATACTTCGCTTGCGCGTAGCGGTCCTTAGCAGCCATTGGGGAGAGAGAGAGAGAGGGAGAGAGAGAGAGAGAGATGGGGTTTAACGTCCACTCGACACAAACTAGGTCATTTCGGGACTAACATATGGTTTAATTTTATTTCAAAAATTCGCTTGCGCGTAGGTGTCTTTAGCAGTGGGAGGAAATCGGTGGACCCGAAAAAAACCCACGAGGTTTGACAGGTGACCCTATTCCTTGTCACGTACAACCGGGGAATGGAAACCACGCCAGTTGACTCAATGACAGATCTTATGATTCGACTCGCACGCGCTAACCATTCGGCCATGCAAACCCCCAAGCGAAATGGGATGTAACGTCTTACACTTCTGTGCCAACCGAACCAATGAGCATATGTCATGCAATGGAGCCTATGGTACAGTGGTTCTCAACCATTATCATCTTGATAGTGCCGCGAAATTTTGAACGCCACACTAAGAAAATGTGAAAAACCACGTGATTCCAATTGAATATTCACTGGTGTCTACTGATAAGTTCATAGCTGTGTTTTTCTCTATTTAATTCGTGTCTATGCCGTCTGACTTACATGTTTTTATTTTGCAAAATTCAAATATTTTTCATATATATTTAGCCAGGTGTGCCGCTATTTTTTCATGTGTTCCAAGGTGTGCCGTCGGCAACAAAACGTTGAGAACCACTGCTATGGTACCTTAAGCCTAGCTCACAACACGTACGGGTCGTAGGGCTTGGTAGATCCCGGACCTGCGACAAGAAACAAGGTGAAAATTTTGTATGTGCGGCACCAAGAAACGACCAGTGTGCCGAACACACGCAAGTAACGCGTAAGTCTCCCGCACGGATTTACTAAAATTTCCCCCGTAGACTGCCCGTAGTGTTGGTCGAGACAGTTCCGCGGATTTTTCAAGCGTAGTTTCCCATCGCCTGACAAGGATCAAAGTGTTTAGTCGCTCTAATGGGACAAAAAACCAAAACAAGGTCCCGTGTACACGCAAAAGAACCTTGACAGTTGAAATTCGAAATAAGGCTAGGCTGTAGACCAGCTCTCAAGGCAAAATTGTGTGAATGACAGATGCTAAGCGAAGTAGAATCGCATTACAAAACAGTATCCTAATTTTTGAATATGGCAGCCATTTAGGGCAGAGATCTATTCTTGAAGTATGAAATAGACGAATCGTTTTGTACAGATTGCCTCCACGGTTCCCACAAACATGCATTGGCGAGTAAAGGTTAAGAAAGTGACATGAGAGGGGGTCAGACCAATCTGACATCTTCAATATAGTCTGACCTTAACATCATAAATGCTTGGTTTTATGGTCCATATATGTAATAATATATATTTATTTATATAGAAATTGGCTGCGAACTCGAGTGGAAGCAAATTAAATTGAATCAGAAATAATCGTATTTTACAAAACTACACTCCAAGTAATATGGTGCGTCCACATTTCATTTACTACCAGGAAATATAATGTCTGCAATCGATATTAAAATCATAATTTGGCGGATGAGGAACCGTGAATTATATCAGTGTTTTGAATTATTTAAGATGGAGATATTATTTTGACATCCATTAGTCTACGTCTACACTGATGTTTGGTCTCTTACAAGAGAGAGAGAGAGGGGGTGAATGATCCAGTCTGTGAACGCCAAGATTTATTGAAGGGTGAACACACCATAGTCAACAACAACAATACTATAGGAATAACATTCATACATTTCAACACTTTTCGTCCTATAATTAGTCAATCCGTAACAATAATATAACAAATGCTGTTCCTGCCTGATGATCAACAACAATTAGTCAATCCGTTCTGGGGTCTTTAGAAGTGGCGGGGGGAGGGGAGAACCCACATGATTAGGTAGATGAACGTACACGCTCCGGAACTAACCTTTGACCCCCCTCCCGCCTCTCTCTCTCTCTCTCTCTCACCGAGCAACATCGAGTGGATTTAAACCACTGGAGTCTTTAAAAGTGGCGGGGGGGGGGGGACCACTGGGGTCTTTAGAAGAGGCGTGGGGGGATCCCACATGATTAGGTAAATGAACGTACACGCTCCGGAACTAACCTTTGACCCCCTCCCCCCTCCCTCCCTCCCCCTCTCTCTCTCTCTCTCTCTCTCTGAGCAACAGCGAGTGGATTTAAACCACTGGGGTCTTTATAGAAGAGGCGTGGGGGGGGGGGGAATCCCACATGATCAGGTAGATGAACGTACACGCTCCGGAACTAACCTTTGACCCCTCCCCCTCTCTCTCGCTCTCTCTCGCTCTCCGAGCAACAGCGAGTGGGTTTAAACCACTGTGGTCTTTAGAAGAGGCGTGGGGGGGGGGGGAATCTCACATGATTAGGTAGATGAACGTACACGCTCCGGAACTAACCTTTGACCCCCCTCTCCCCCTCTCTCTCGCTCTCTCTCTCCGAGCAACAGCGAGTGGATTTAAACTACTTGGCCAAACGGATCTCCATTAATCATTTTCCAATT